CACGCTTATTGTCTTACAAGTTGTGGAGAAAAAATACTTTAAAAATCCACGCTTATTGTCCTACAAGTTGTGGAGAAAAAATACTTTAAAAATCCACGCTTATTGTCTTACAAGTTGTGGAGAACAAATACTTTAAAAATCCACGCTTATTGTCTTACAAGTTGTGGAGAAAAAATACTTTAAAAATACACGTTTATTATCCTACAAGTTGTGGAGAAGAAATTATTATCCTACAAGTTGTGTAGAAAAATACTTTAAAAATCCACGCTTATTGTCTTACAAGTTGTGGAGAAAAAATACTTTAAAAATCCACGCTTATTGTCTTACAAGTTGTGGAGAAAAAATACTTTAAAAATCCACGCTTATTGTCTTACAAGTTGTGGAGAAAAAATACTTTAAAAATCCACGCTTATTGTACTACAAGTTGTGTAGAAAAATTCTTTAAAAATCCACGCTTATTGTCCTAAAAGTTGGGGAGAAAATTTTTTTTTAAAAATTCACGCTTATTGTACTACAAGTCGTGTAGAAAAATTCTTTAAAAATCCACGCTTATTGTCCTACATGTTGTGGAGAAAAAATAATTTAAAAATCCACGCTTATTGTCCTACAAGTTGTGGAGAGAAAAATCTTTAAAAATCTACTCTTATTGTCCTACAAGTTGTGGAGAAAAAATTCTTTAAAAATCCACGCTTATTGTTCTACAAGTTCTCGAGAAATTATCTTTAAAAATCCAAGCTGCCTTATTTGTGGAGAAAAAATTGTTTAAAAATCCACGCTTATTGTGCTACAAGTTTTGGAGAAGAAATTATTTATAAATCCTCGCTTATTGTCCTACAAGTTGTGGAGAAGAAATTATGGAAAAATCCACGTTTATTGTCGTACAAGTTGTGGAGAAAAATACTTTAAAAATCCACGCTTATTGTCCTACAAGTTGTGGAGAAGAAATTATGGAAAAATACTTTAAAAATCCACGCTTATTGTCCTAAAAGTTGGGGAGAAAAAAAATCTTTAAAAATCCACGCTTATTGTCCTAAAAGTTGGGGAGAAAAAATCTTTAAAAATCCACGCTTATTGTACTACAAGTTGTGTAGAAAAATTCTTTAAAAATCCACGCTTCTAATTCTCCTAAAAGTTGGGGAGAAAATTGTTTTTAAAAATTCACGCTTATTGTACTACAAGTCGTGTAGAAAAATTCTTTAAAAATCCACGCTTATTGTCCTACATGTTGTGGAGAAAAAATAATTTAAAAATCCACGCTTATTGTCCTACAAGTTGTGGAGAGAAAAATCTTTAAAAATCTACTCTTATTGTCCTACAAGTTGTGGAGAAAAAATTCTTTAAAAATCCACGCTTATTGTTCTACAAGTTCTCGAGAAATTATCTTTAAAAATCCAAGCTTATTAAACTACAAGTTGTTAAGAAAATATTCTTGAAAAATCCACGCCTATTGGCCCACAAGTTTAGAAGCCACAATTAAACCCCCTACAAGTTGTAAAGAAAAAATCTTTAAAAATCCAATCTTATAGCTTTACAAGTTGCAGAGGAAATTTTCATTAAAAATCTACGCCAATAGCCTTGCGTATCATATCCTATTATCTTATTATTATTATCAAAAATCCACTCACCATGGGACACGTTTTCAATGGTACACCAATTGAACCGACAGTTTTCGACGACGATGACAAATTTGATGGTGATAAATCGGCACTGTGGCCGCTACTGCTACTACCACCGCCACGACGAAACAATAGATCTTTCCAATTTTTGGCTTTTGGCGAACCCAAATCTTTATCGGGTATATTTTTGTGTGAAGATGATTTGCGTGTTTTCATAACAGGCGATATTGAATCCGTGGCTTCTAATTCACTACGTGACGTTGAACTTAAGGGTGAATGTTCGGCTTGTAAATGTTGTTGGCCGCTGCCGCTTCCTGATTGTTGTTGCTGTTGTACATTGTCATCACAGTAATTGCTGTTGTGTGTTGTTGTAGACATGCTAGCGGGAGTTTTTTGTGGTTCCGCTAACTGTTTACCTTGAGGATCCTGTGATATAAAATTAAATTAATTTTTAATTTTACTTATTTAAAAAAAAATTCAAGTTTATTGGATCTTACATTGTCATTAAATATTAAACTATTCTTCCATTGCAATAAACCATATATCCTTTTCATTTCAGCACCACTTTTCGTTTTAAATAGAATATCGGTATGCGGTTGATTGTTCGTTTCCGTTGTGTGTTGTTGCTGTGTTGAGGAGGAACTACCGGTCGATGATGTTAATTTGTCGGGCACATCATCAATATTTAACTCATTGCCTAATGTGGCTATCGGTGAGGGTTTCGATTGCATGCGAAATACATATTTCTTTTTATCTGATTCGTCAAAGATTTCAAAGTTTCTAATGTCGAGTTCAAGTACCTTAAAATAAAAAAATAAACATTTATATAATTATAATAATATAATATATTTAAATGATATACTCACATTGCTATCTGATTTCGTATTACGACTGGGATATATTCTTAACATATCACCTTTAATTTCGATTTTAACTTGGCGCCATGAACGATATTCGGATTGTCGCTAAAATAAAAAAGAGAGTAAATTAGACTTACTTAGGTTATATGGGAGGGGATTTTGGGGAGAATGTATTTAAATATTTAAAATTTGGGGCATAGATCTAAAGACTTATATAGAAATAGGGTCAGATTTACTACAAGCTCTCATATATAATGATTTCCAATTTTATATAAAATGTACATTAAACTTCCTAATACTGCATGAATTGGCATGAAATATTTCATAGATTTTCGAATGACATGTGTATAGACTGATTGAAGTTGGTTCATATGTAGAATGGTCCCCCATAGACGCTATATCTGTCCTATCGACACAATATTGTACACATACATCCAAAATCATTTTATTTAAATCGGACCCGTCCAAGATTGTTTAAGCAGTTTAAATGTATTCTATATAAGATAAATCTTAGAAGCCCCTCTTGTGTATGCCCAAAGTGGTACTGGGTATCATACAGTCCGATCAAACTTTGATATTTTCCTATTTATTTCTCTTTCGAGATGAGACACATGATAAAAAGGAGAGCCAAAATCGGACCCGTCCAAGATTGTTTAAGGAGTCCGATCAAACTTTGATATTTTCCAATTTATTTCTCTTTCGAGATGAGACACATGATAAAAAGGAAATCCAAGGAGAAATACGACATTCCCACTATTATCCGACGAATTTCCACGTTGGTTAAGTGGCTCATCATGCATATTGGGCAATGTGACTTACAAATGTCGTTACTTGATACGAGGTAAATTCAACCATGTCAAGGTTCGGACATTTGTCATCAAACCACAACATTCCCTTTCAGAGCAGATTTTTTCTATTCTTTATTTTCCTTTCAATTTTTACTTAACAAATGAATTTATCTTCAACTTACTTTGCCTTGTATTGATGATGATTTGATTTCCATTTCCGTTTCAAAGATTTCCATATCGGTTGAAATATCTTTGGATTCCATTTTACCGTTTAGATCAATACCACTGAGGCTATCAATGTGAACGCTGTGTGTTTAAAAGGAAATGAAGAAAAAAACAACAACATTAGTAACTTAGCAATGAACAAAACAAACATGTTCCACCTTACCTGTGTCTTAGATCACTATTTACCGATGTTCTACGACTACTACAAGATGCATCCAATTTCAAATCTTCCAAGGCATCCAATGAATCACTGGTACTATCAGCACCACCACCACCACCCACTGTATCATATATTGGATCAGGATGTTCCTCAATGTGCTGCTGTTGAGATTTTGTGGATTTCGTAGAGAGCGTTTCCGCTATGCTGCTGGTTGATGTGTTGGCCAGCGATGTGGCCGATGTATCATGATAATCATCGTTGGTAGCACGTAAATATGAAATGCGACGCATTGGTTTCGAATCATCGAATGAAGACATGGGTCTGAAACGTCTTATAACATTGCTGCTGCTACCGCCTGAAGCTGTGGATGAGGGTTGTACTGAGGCCGCTGTGGTTAGAAAAAAAAAATTGAGAGTATGATAAGATTGATTAATTTTAGAATTTAAAAAAATTGTTTGTGGTACATCTGAGTGTAATTGTAAAAAGTTTTGTAATGATGAGCAATAAATAGTGAACAAAAATAGTTTTAACAAATTTCCCCAAAGTGTTACGTGTGTCCCTTTTAGTAATTGTGTAAAAAACCATTTGAATTTACAAGGAGTTATACCTCTCACGTTTGTTGTTTGTGTAGTTCCTGATGCGGATTTTATATTCGATTCAACTACTGTTGTACCGGTATTAACATCACCTTCTGCAATATCGGCCAATGTTGATTTTATTTCATTTGAATCTGTCGCCGTTAATTTACTTCCATTCTCTGAAAGCATAGCAAAGATAATGAAATCAAATCAGTGCGTGCTTAAGCTCGCAGGAGGAACCTTTTATAGCCGCAAAAAGCAGTACATAAATAACAATGAGTTTATTAATAATGCAGGATATTATTGCATCTTGAGTCATTGCGGCAGAGAAGAAATTATAAAAAAAGGCATTATAACAAAAAATAATTATAATAATAAAAAAGTTAGGAAGCGGGAGGAATTTGAGGTCTGGATGTTAAAAATGTTAACACATAAAAAGTTGTGTGAGGTTGCGGAAATAGTATGTTTGTAATAATTCACAATTTTCGATCCCTATACCCTACACTACACTGTTTTACAAGCGCACAATTAATTCGTATAGGCCCATAGTTACATTTATAGATATCCATTTATATCTGTAGATATATTTCGGGTTCAGAGGGATATAATTAAATATAGATATACGTTTTTATTTACAAATAACTGACTCAGGGGTTCAAAGACATCATCTTTTGGTTTGATGTGTGATTAAGAAGTATGTATGTTTCACAGCCGTTTATTTTACAAACAATCTTTGACGACAATGGGATTAATTTAAAAATAGATAACAAAAAATAGATCAATACTTTTAATGAATTAGTATGCCTGTGGAATTATTAAACACTAGTTTTATTATCTGCTTTATATAAGGTATATGTTTTTATCAAATAGTTGACCCACTGTGAGATATCAAAAGGAGTGGGTCGGACTTGATCTAGGTTTGGTACAAGTATTACGATTTGCAAATCGGAAATCGGAAATTGCATTCGCAAGAAATTTTTAAAAGGAGTATAGCGAAGGGTCCCAGCATCGAACAGTTTTGGTAAAAGTATTACGATTTGGATCAAATCGGACATTAAATTAAATATCGGATATTAGATTAAGAAGTTATTAAGATTTTGACCCTTTGTATGGAAGGCATCACAAGAAGTGAACTGATGGAGCCCCATCTTCGGACATGATCTAGGTTTTGGGACAGATTAGCATATTGCCACGTTGTAAATTATCTTTCAAAGAAAGAATACCTATTGATAAATCATTCCTATATAAATAATAAGACTTTCAAACGACAATTCTTTGTTTTGAGGACATTAAAAGAAAATCCATATGAAACTATGAAAATATCGAAAGATGAAATATCAAAAATAATATTTTTTTATTTCGAGGTTTTTAAAAAGACTTCTTCTTTGGGAGAAGTATTCGTTACTGTTAAGATCTTACAATGGAATTCTTATTTCGGAGAACTTCGAAAAAAACGACTACAAATACATGTTTATCAAAAAGGTTTTTTGACCAGAGATAAGAATAAATTGAAGCATATTTTTGAAGAAGGCTCTAGAGGATCTATTGAAACAACTTAACTGTGTGAGTTTATAAGAATATCTGTAAGGAATATCGAAAATTAGACTTTCAACCGGATCTTCTTTAATATGAAACCTTAAAATGGGTTCTTCGTTCAGACGAATCCGCCAACAACAAATATCTATGTGGAATATTAAAAGACTTTCTCTTAATATTGAAGACCTTAAAATAGATATTAGTCTAAATGACCTCAAAATATATAATTTACCATAGTCTTTCTTTAAATTAATACAACTAAATAACCTTCTATCTACGTTCCTTTTGGAAGTTTTCTAAATACTCACAGTCGATATACTCAGATATTACAAAAAATATATTTCCTGTGAAGGATATGCTATTTCTGTATAAGGTTCTGTGACGACACATAGCAGTGGGTCAACACGGCAAATGCAAATGCAACACGAAGTCAGCCACCAGCAAAACGAACTTCTCATTGAGGTCGTATCGCTGGTAACGTAAGAACTCCGAATTGTCACAAGAGACATTTAGGTATGAAAGGTTTTTTGTAAAGAAACAATAAATAACTTGTGGGGGAGAATATCCCAACAAAAAACTAAGGGAACTGATGAGGATCAGTGGCGAGATCCGAAAATATAGTCTTCCCTGCCTTACCCCCCCTTCGGCGGACAATGCCATACATTCACCACTAATAAATAGTTGTTTTTTTTTATAAAAACAACAAACTGGGATTCAGCCTGACTATTTTGCAAAAACAAAATACAAATGGTATTCCCAAATAACCCGCCAACACTACTGAAGTTCTCAAATAATTCTTATAACTCCAAAGAGGCTTGAAACCTCAAAAAAGCTTTTCTTCCTAGGGGATCTCAGCCATTCTTTATGTATAAAATGTTTTCAAAAGATCCTAAGACCCTATATACGTCTTCTGAAAGTTTTCTTAGAATACCTCAAAAGGAGCCTTACAAAAGTTATGGAGAATATGTTTATTTATAACCTTCTACAATATTCTAAATAAGGTCAACGAATTTAAATGTTATTATATCTATATTAAGTTCCCAAGCATGACTTCGGAAAACTACTGTATTTTAGGAGACCTCAGCGATTATCTATTTACAAAAATCTTAAAAAGATCAGTAAACTATGGTATATTCCTATGGTGCAGTGTTGCCAAAACTCTGTTGAGGAAAAATGCTAGAATTTGTGGAAAAAAATGCTAGAAAGTGCTAGAAATTTTAAAAAAGTGCCAGAAAAAAGTGCTAAAACATTGAGGTCGCAATATTGAAAACAGAGCTTTGGAATTTTGCCCATATATTGCACTAATCCTAGGACATTTGGTATTGGAAATTAAATATATCGGTCTTTTTTGTGTACACCATACCCAATATGTAATTTTTTAAGGTTTTCTGCACATTTTCAACCTAATATGCGGTTTTTTATTTCGGATTCTCCCTGTGTAGAAAGTCTTTTTACTAAAAATTATCAACATTGGTCCACTTTTAAGCGTCGCCCTCATAAACACTTTTTACAATCGAATTGGCTTTAATTTGATATTTCAAATTGAGTAAAAATCTCCTCATTAGAAATTATTAATATATGTACATATTTAGGGGTTGCTGCGGGATTTTGGAGGTTAGCATACGAAGACAATTATCAATCAATTTCAATCAGACACCCTTTCGAAATACATATGGAAGCTATGGCTTCATCTGCACCAATTTCAACAAAACGCAATAACGTCATTCTAGTCTCAATTCGATTCGCTGTACAAAATTTCGTGCTAATCGCACAAATATTAGAAATTCGGTGCACCACGCTATGCCAAATTTCGAAGGATTAATGGGGACTTTAGTGCACCATTTACATTAAATCGGACGAACATATATATGGGAGCTATATCTACATCTGAACCTATTTCCCCAAATAAATGAGCTGTGCCAAATTTAATCCAATTCGAATCAAAAATGCGAGTAGTACTTTGTTTACAATTTAACATGGACAGACAGACGGACATGCATAAATCGGTTTAAAAAGTGATTCGATGCATATTCTCAAAAGGAACCGTGTGTCTATCTCGTTTCCTTTTGCCTGTTACAAACATATGCACAAAGACATAATACCCTGTACCATAGTGTGGTGAAGGGTATACAAATATATGTTTGCCGGAATTTTTCTATTTTGGTCCGGTTCGGTACTCTTAAGTCGTTATAACTTGGCATTCGGGATTGCCGGTGAATAAAAAACTTATTTTCAGAAAATTCCAATGGACCGCTTTATTTGATTTTTTTCAAATAAACAATCTACTAGCAGACAATGTCATAGTGACCGTATGAAGTACCTGCTTACAAATCTACTGTCACTTTTTTAACATTGGAAAATCAAATTCATCGCGTGAAACATAGGGAAATTACAATGCGTCAATATGAAATCGAAAAACGGGAAAATTTGTTGGGATGAAACAAAAATTATAAAAAAATACTGAAAAATAAAAAAATGCTAAAAAAGTGCTAGGTGCTATATCACCTTTTTTGGTGCTAAACGAGTTTAAAAAGTGCTAAATCTAGCACAAAAATTGCTAAATTGGCAACACTGCTATGGTGGGTTAAAGACATTTCTACATAAGAATGGGTAGGTTTATTCCTTTGGCGGGTTAAGGACAAATCAAAGCGTTACACATAAAGCAGATTTTTGGCAAATACTTAAATTAAATATAAAGATGTATTCCAACTCACTGTTATTAGTTTGATGATCGATTGTTGCATTGGCCACACTGGCCTTATAGATTTCCATGCGACTAAAACGATGGCCATCGACCACAGATGATGAGGACGATGAGGATGTTGCGGATGTTCCCGCTGATGCGATTGTTACTGGTGTTGAGGATAGATTAGTTGTTGTTGTTGCTGCGGATGTTGTTGCCGTTGCAGCACTTGGAACTGTCATCTTTGGCGCCGTTGCTGATTGTTGTTGATGATGATGCTGATACACATGCTGTTGGTGTAATTGGCTGTGCATGTGTTGCTGTTGTTGCTGCACCTGCTGCATTTGATGCAATGGATGATGATGCAGTGAATCATATAAAACACTTGGCTTTTTCATAATGTTGCTGCCCGTGTTGTTGCTGCTGCTGTTGCTATTATTGCCTGGAGCTGTAGATGATGCCATTGTTGCTGCTGTTGTAGATTCAATGGCATTTGTGTTGATAGACAAAGGCTTGAAAGGATCAAAACCTCGGGCTAAATGTGAAACCAATTTGCTTTCAAATCTAAAAGAAAGTCGAATAGAAGAGATAAACGAAATGTAAAAATTAAAAGCCAACCACATTCGCATATGTATATATGAAACGAACAACCACGAAACAAACATCCAACCAATGACCGAACCGACCGAACATTCAGCAAAGGTGATAAGATATTCCAATTGACAATATATGGAAATACACAAAATAGTGTTGTTTCTAATGGACCCCGATAGAGTGATAGGCAGGCAGTGTTTTTTTTTTTGGTTTGCTGGTCCGGTTCAGTAACTACAGGAGCCAATAGCCCCAGACAGCTAGTCCATTTGCATATGGCTCCTAAGGCTGCTGGCTGGCTAGCTGGACGTCCAGTTCGTTGGTCGATTGTTACACGATGTTGTTGTTGTTTTGGGGATTACTTACACTTTGTTAGTGACACCAGTTTCCTGCAATGTTTCCATGAATTCATAATCCTTATGGTATTTATCACGCAACATTGAACTGCTGCCGTTTGTGGTACTGCTGGAGCTAATGCCAGAGCTGCTACTGTTGGCGGCGGTGGTCGCGGCAAGTCGCTGTTGTTGACTACGAGCCGTTGTTGAACCATAGATTCCACCAGCACCACTACCTCCAGTTGTACTGGAGCCACCTAAATTCGGTGCGTAATGCATATCACAGTTTGCTGTTAGTAATTCTCTCGTACTGGACGTCGATGAAGTGGCCGACAGTGGTTGTTTAACTAAGGTACGCACTTGTCCTCGTGCCGTTGCATTGCTGCCACTATTGCTGCTGTTGTTGTTATTGTGAAAACTTAAACCGCCAACAACGGCCGATGATGATGAACCGGATCCCCCCACAGATGTCGATGATGTTGAGACCATCGACAATTGTGGACTGCCTGAGGGTGGTGTATGAGGAAAGAAATGTTGTTGTTGTTGCTGCTGTTGTTGTTGTTGATGGACATTAGGTAGCGGTGATTTGAGAAATTCTTCCTTTTGTTTTATCGATTCACGCAAGCGTATCATTAAATCGCTGGTATCAACAGCAGCATTGGAAGCATAAAATGCGGCAGCATTTTGCTGTTGTTGCAATTGTTGTTGGCGGGTTAATACTGTTAGATTTGCTGGTGGTGAACTGGAAAAAGGGAGAAGAAAAAGAAAAGACGGGAAATTAAAATAATTTTTATAATATGGGTATCTAGAGAAAAAATACAGATGTGGATTAAAACTAATTTAGTATTGGAGACCTCAGAAGGCCTGTAGAGAACTTTTCTAAAAAATCAGTAGAATAAAGACAGCTTCAAAATTTGTTATTTAAATGGAGGTGACACTTAAACAATTTTTACATGAAGCTAATCTTCTTTTAAAAAATTAATCTACATTAAAAATCGAAAGAAATAGCAATGAAGTGTTTTTAACCGAAGATAGGAGTCTAAGAGATTCTGGTACATCATATAAAAATAATTGAAGGATTAAAAAAGGATTAATCTCTAGAAGGTCCTACACAACAATCTGGTATTTGAACTTGATCCTAGTATGAATGAAATTTTACAATGATCCAAGCTTATCCCTTCGATAATCCCGCCGGACAGACGTTTCTAAATCGACTTCAAACTGTTTACAAAGGATTTGGTATCATACGAGGGCAAAGCGCGGTATAAACAGAAAAAAGTTAAGTGTTTTGGAAACTTCCATATCTGTTAAGAACACATGTAAAATTCTGTTTCGATCTGGCAACTCCTTCATATAGAAACAGGTGTTCAAAAAAGACACATCCTCAATATTTTTACGATGTAAACGCCCATTTCTTATTTCTTCATTGTAAAAAAAAAAAATTGCGGATGCATCTTTTTCAAACATCTTTCCCAATATGAAGAAATTGACAGATCGATCATAACGACAGATCGATTTCTTCAATGTAAAAAAAAATTGCGGATGCATCTTTTTCGAACATCTTTCCCTATATGAAGAAATTGACAGATCGATCATAACGAAGATGGAAGTTTCCAAAAACTTAACTTTTTTCTGTTTATACCGCGTTTTTTATGCTAGGCTAATAATTTTCCGAACTGCCCCCGTATAATTAGATTCGAATCTGAAGGTACAAAAAGCATCGTGTTGGCGATGCATCTGGTGAATTGAGTTGAAGACGACCCAGATCTTATAACAATGGCAGCAGCTTACCTCAGAACCAAATTCGGCTCAATGTGAAGGTCTCTATATTGGAAAAGGTCCATGAAATACAATACTAAGCTACAATTGACACAGGTTAAAGGTTGCAGTCTCATAGAAGAACTATCTTTTATTGAAAACATCAAAGGAGACCTTACGATGATATGCATGAAAATCACTAGAAAATATCAAAAACAGAATCGAAGAAGCCTCATAAAAGAACATCTTCTCAACATATAGAGGACCAATGTACGATGATGTTTGGAAATTTGTTTTCTATATTAAAATTCTTTATAATATCTTCCATCTATATAAGACATCTAGAATGTATTTATAAGGTGATCCAAAATATAAAAGACCTTTCATTTATAAAAGACCATCGAATGATCTACTAACCACAGAAGACTTCTGAGGCGTGTTATATCTATAGGAGAACTCTGAAAGGTATTCTTATTATGAATGACCTTTATAAGACTTTTGAATAAAGTTCATCTTTATAAGGTCGGCCTTCTAACCATAAAATGCCTGTAGAAGTTATTCTAACATAAGGAAGACACCTAAAAGGTGATCTAACGGAAGGAGATTTCTACAACGGGGTTTAACTATAAAGGCCCTCATAAAGAACTTCAACAGAATTTCTTCTTAGAAGACCTCCATAAGATTGTACAAAAAATATATGTCGATCGTAGTCTAGGAACAGCAATCGGTGCAGTATTTTCACAAGGCATATAGACGCACTTTTCTGATCTTTTAAAGAGACATTTGAAGTCACAAAAGACTTCGAAAAATTCAGAATTGAATTTATTTCAAAATCTTCCGCCAGTTGGTAGAAATTCCTAATCTATATGCTATGCTGGCCTTCAGAACCACAATCAATCCATGTTATTCCTTTCGCACATCTCCCTCAACCTAACTCTGCTGTAAACTATTTGACATTAGAATATTTAATTTTTTTTCTCAAATATCTGTCATTCATGGTTTCTTATCTTTATAATTGTTTTTTTTATTCTTTTGTATTATAAAATAATTTTTATAATTTTATTTTAGCATGATTCATTGGGTTGAAGATTTGCGGTTTCATTTATATTTTTTCATTATTATTAGTTTTTGAGTTTATCTGTATAATTTAATCGCTGATGCATCAACCACCGTCAGCCAGCGAACAAAGTTAACCAGTATGTCTACCAATCCCATATTTGCATATTTGCGATTTGTGTGTGATTATAGACAGGTTAAATGTTGTCATTCGGCGTAGGCAATGGATAATCAACTATTTTATTTGTCGAATAGTTCTCCTCATTTTGGGAATGTATTTCGGAAGATCTGTGTATGTTTAAACATAATAAATTTGTAATTTAGACAATTTTGGTAATTGGAATTACACAGCTTGAATATTAACAACTGTTCGCAAAGTCAATATTTTTAATAAAAAAGAATCAGAAGATTTGGACTTATTTTTGATTAAAATTTCAATAAACCGCATACATAAGTGAGATATTTATATATAGATATTGCTTCTACATCAACTGTATTTCAAATAGAATAATGCACGAAAGCAAGGTTGATAGGATAAAGATTTGATCGCCAAAATTCGTTTATATTTTGAAGCAAAGGATAAATTGTCTAACAACTAATTTGAAAGTATCGTTAGGGGTTGCCTATTGATTTGCACCCCTTAAACCTTTGTGTAAGAAAGTCGGAGGTTTAATGATTTTTTTAGAAATTGTGACCATTTGGAGTAAACCGATAGACCCATATATTCAAATATTGTGATGTAAATAAAATTTTTGGGAGTGGAAGTGGACCGATAGATATGCTCAAATTTGTTTGTCTTACCTAGATTTCCTAAAAAACTACAATTTGCAAAGTTAGGATCAAATCGTAAAAGTTGTGGTCTGATGGCTGCATTTTTGGTATTGATCAAAAACATACGCTTTGCAAAGTTTGTTATTGTGGTTGCGGTCAACAGCATTCAAGGGAACTGGAGAAGAAGTCACATAGAAGAACTATCCTCTACAATGTTTTATATTTATAAAAATGCCTTCTATCTTTAGGCTACAAGAAAACATGTCTCAATTTTATAAAAAAAACCCCGAGGGTATGTTTTGTCCAAAGAAGATATTCTGTATGTATAGAGGATTTAAATATCATGATTTGTATATAGTATTAAATTTTTAATAGACCTCTAGAAGGTATTCGATCTCCGGAACATTTCTGGAAAGTTATATTTTATCTATAAAACGCCTTCAAATGGTCCATAAAAGGTCTCCAAAATAGCTTTTATGTATAGGAAACCTTCGGATATATATAGAAGACCTCTGATAGGTATTCTAATAATGTATGATCTTTAACTATGAAAGACATTTAACTTGTTTTTCTTTAAATCATAAAATACCTCTAGAAGTTCTTCTAGACTACAGAAGACCGATAAAAGATAATAAAACTGTAGGAGACTTCTACAAGGGTATTAAGCTATAGAGGTCCTCTTAAATAGTTCTTCATCTTAATATAAAAGATTGATCTCCAGAATATTTTATAAAGGCAAATTATAGAAGGTCCTCCAAATATGATCTCTGGATGATCGTGTATCTATAAGATCTTCTAAATTTAGAAATCCTCCTTGAGGTTTTTTGAATATAAAAGGGTTTAGTATAAAAGATCTCCAGCAGATTTTATAAATGTACGGCTTCTAGAAGGTCTTCCATATAGGATCTCTGGATCTCAATCTCTATCTATAAGATATTTAACTTTAGAAAAACTCTTGAAGTCTTCTATAATTGTATTCTTGTATAGAAGACCTATAGAAACACCCTTTGATATGCATTACTATAAACGTTTTATAGATAATATCTACTATGGAAGTCGACTAGAAGTTTTATCTCCTATAGGAGGTATTCTATCGATAGAAATCTTCTCTATATCTAGATGCAAGAGAAGGTAAGGTATATATAAAATATCTTTCAGAACATTAAGCTTTCCGGTGGACTTCCATCCAAGGTTTTATACAATCAATAGAAAACATTTAGAAAATCGAAATTATCCTGCAGAAGTGAGCTAGAAGTTTTAGGTATTCGGAATTCTATATACTATATAATTATATTCCATCTATATAAGCCCTGTAGAAAGTAGGTAAAATATAATTAGATATACTTCCAGAACTTTATAGATAAATGTTAGACCAATTGCCGCAAAATTTTGCATATAGGAGGTTTTCTATCGATAGAAATCTCCTCTATATCTAGATTCAAGAGAAGGTAAGGTATATATAAAATATCTTTTAGGACATTAAGCTTTCCGGGGGACTTTCATCCAAGGTTTTCTACAATCAATAGAAAACATTTAGAAAATCGAAATTATCCTGCAGAAGTCAGCTAGAAGTTAATATCTTCCATCTATAGTAGGTAAAATATATTTAGATGTACTTCCAGAACTTTATAGCTAAATGTTAGACCAATTGCCGCAAAATTTTCACAAAGTACTGAAGTTATTATAAAATAACGCGTGTCAAGTTTTATTGAAATCGGTTTGCGATTTATATATAGCTTCCATATATATTCGTCCGATTGTATGTAAAAACTGTACCTAAAGTCGCTACATTTCTTTCGATTTGCACGAATTTTGGCATAGTGTACTGATTTAAGTTTAGAATGATGTGTGATAAGTTTCGTGAAAATCGGTTCAGATTTAGATATAGCTCCCATATATATTCGTCCGATTTTATGTTAATTGAGCACAAAAGCTCCTATATTTCTTTCGATTTGCACGAAATTTGGCATATCATACTGAATTGAGTCTAGAATGATGTGTGCTAAGTTCCATGTAAATCAGTTCAGATGTAGATGTAGCTCCCATTTATATTTTCGTCCGATTTTATGTAAATAGTGTACCAAATAGTGTATATATTTCGAACTACTTTCCTTACTGGTTTAAGAATACTTTTTTGAGATCTAGACGTGGATTTTT